GTCAAGTTTGAGTTTTCGGCATGTAGAGAGCCAGTTTTTCCAGCACCATTTGTTAAAGAGGCTATCTTTCTTCCAGTGCCTCATTTATTCTTATATCCACTATTGTTTCACTGTTTCATGACCTCAAGTTCATCACTTCATTATTCATATGTTGATAGCAACAGACTGTGGCTGTATTTAAAAAAGTAATCAGTTTTAATTGAAAGGTAGATTCTAGGATAATATGACCATATCCTCATTAGAGAAACATCAGACACAGGTACATAAAAGAGAAGGAAAGTTACAGAGAGGAGACACTTACCTGTAATCTACGAAAAAAGAGAAAACCAGCCTTGTCAACACATTGATCTAGACCTCTAGAATCCAGAATTTTGAGAAACGTGTTTGTTGCTTGATCCACCTAGCCTGTGCGACTTTGTTTAGGAGCACCTAACAGATAATGAACTCTATTACTATACATGTTCAATAGCATTCTTTGAAAAGTCTTTGCATAGGTCTTTAAATTTATTTCTTGTTACCTGATATATGATGTTTTAAGGTCAACATAAGTATTGAATTTTCTTTCTTTTTTAAAAATGTATTTAGTACAGTGTCTCACTACACAGCTGGGACTCTAGTGATTCTCCTATTTTCAGCCTACCCAGCAATGGAATTACAGGTGCACATTATCAGGCCTGTTGTAGGTGGCCAGCTTAGTGTGCTCAGGGCTGGGGCTGGCATGGTATGTGGTGCCAGGGATCAAACCCCGGGCCTTGCACTTGCCTAAGTAGGCACTTAGTTCACTGAGCTATCTCATAACCCCAAGTACTACATTTTTTAAAATAACCCTTCTCAATGTATTTTTAATGTATAGGAAAACAGTTCACTTTTGTATCCTTGTCTTGCAGATTCAATTACCTGATCTAGTGGTATACGTTAAAACATTTGTGATTTTTTACACATATAATCATGTCACCTGTGCATTCAAATAGCTGCACTGAAAAACTAGGCGTGGTGGCAACAGGCCTGCAGACCTGGCTGCTTAGAAGTCTGAGGTGGATGGGGCATTTGAGCTGAAAAGTTGAAGCCTGCCTTTGCAACATTAGAGAGACCATACACTGAAACAGAAAAAGAAATAGGGACCAGGGAGATAGCTCAGTAGGCATAAATATCTGCCTGCCAAGTACAGGGTCCTGATTTTGATCTCAAGTACCAAAAATAAAATAAAATAGAAAACTGTTCATCCATCTTTTTATATTTATGCTTTCCTTATTTTCCTTCACTTTTCCCCCCTTATCTTGAGGTGAGAAAAGAAGTACTAGGAATTGAACTCACAACCTCATGCTTGCCAGGCAGGGTGCTGCACTGTTGAGCTAAATACCCAGCCCTACCTTCCTTATTTTCCTCCTCCTTTTTCTCTCTTCTTTTTACTCTGAGTAGATCTATTTAATTTTGTGAAATATAATTTTTGAAATCAGAAATCTCTAACAATGTGCTTAGACTGTACAAATATTTTAATATTACATTTTATTATTAATTTTATAAATTATTTTTGTCATAGAAATTCTTCTGTTTTTCTGATTTTATCGTGAAAAGATGTTGAATATTGTGAAATAACAAAAGTTTCTAACATGGTCAGTCAAATCCCCTCAGGATATACCCTGAAACCCTGTACTGCAGTTCATAGATCCTTTGTCAGTGTCAGCCACATGGATGAGTCACAGCCATTGCTTGACCAATTTGCCTTGTGTGAAAGCCTGAGAGAAAGTTTTCTCTCTTGGTAACTCTTCTTAGGCACACTCTCCATCATCAATCACTTTCCTCTGTGGCCCCATAATCTCCTTGATCAGAAAACTTGGGACATCACTGAGTTACAGGATGTTACAGTACAGGTTCACTTATGTCCTGACTCCTCACTGACCTTGAATGCCTAGGGCCAAAACGTTGGCTATCCTCATAGCCCTTCTTTTTGCCTAATTTTTGGTCTACAAACTTAAGTTGTTAACCTTCCAGAAGAGAAGCTTAATGGTATTAATATCCTATAAAATAGGCAGTTGAGCTTAACCTCACCGTTTGTCTGCATATCAAACATCTTAGACATAACATGGAACAGGTGTTTTCCATCAAGTATTGATATGCTAAACTTTAAATCCCTACAGAATGCAAAGAAAAAATTTAACAAATAGGAACAACCAATTACATATTTTTACACAGAAATTTAGAAATCTAACCATATACAACATTGTAGCAGGACAGTCCTATGACAATTTTTTTGGGAAAAAAAATAGTGTTTGAAGCACCTCTAAGTCTCTAATTCATTACTCAGGGCCCATTCATTGCAGAAACACTGTTAGGTTTTTCACTTCCATAGCCTGATCCAGTGTTGGGAGGAAAGTGAAAATGATCCATCTCCAGTTGGATCAGCACAGGCAAATGCCTATGAGAAAGAAATGTCTACTAATGAGTGACTTCACCATTTCCCCTATGGCTTTAAGTCCTTGTCTTTTGTATTTACAAAACTTTGATGAATCTTTGACTTTTATAAGACAGTGAGACTGTGCTGTAGTTGTGTGCTAGGATTTAAAGTTTCTCATTTTAACCTTAAGCCACACTATGTATCTTCACAATTCAATGCATTCATTTAAGGAGGAAGGAATGTCAGGTGTCTGAGGCTTTTCAAATCTCCATTTTGCCAGTTCCTAGGAATTTAATTTTTTTATTTTATCAGTAGTTCACAGTGCATGTCATTTATAATATCCTTGGGGAATAATTCCATTTATGTGCTACAGTTTGGTGTTTTGTTTTATGTTTGTTTTTGTTTTGCCTCCTTCCTATTCTCTCCCTTGCTCTCCCATCTAGTCCTCCTTTCCCAATTTTCCTACTTGATGCTGTCAATCTTAACTCATGTTTACATTTATTGAGCTAATTAGATTCTGTACCTGGCATATCTTTAATCTACTTATTTCCCTTCCTCTTCTCCTTTCTTCTCACCTCTTCTCCTGGTGCTTTTCCCTAATGCAAGATTCATTGTTCTTTTCTATCCATCTTTTTGTTCTTTTGTTTGTACTTCACCTCACTTAAATAAGAGTTGCCATACAGTATTTGAGTTTGCATGTTTGGTTTATTTCACTTAACTTTTTTTTTCCCGAGGTGCATCCATTTTCCTCTAAATGCTTCAAATTTGTCATTCTTTATACTTGGGTAGCACTACATTATTCATCTAATAAATTGTTTAATATATACAATTGTACAAATCTTGTAAGAATTTTATGTGCAAGTTTCTTCTTTTTATTGCTTTCTAGAAATATGATTTTCTGCAATTTAACTGCTGCTTAAATAATTTATGAATTTGTAATAAATTTATTGGTGATTCATATATAGCTATTACAAATACTTAATAATTCTTGTGTGCAGATAGGTGATGAAGGGATGAAGAACCATAATTAATCTTTTCAACTGAATTATATTTTCCTGATGTCTATCTAATTCTATGAATTACATTGAATTCTTTCATTATACCTTATTTCTGTTTATTTTTCTTTCATTTCAATAGAATTTATTAATGTATTTTACTCTACTATTGCTTATCATCTAACATTTATAAATCACATAGCTTAATGATAAACTATGCATTTCTAAAAATCATTTAACATCCTTTGTAATTTTTGTTGCTCTTACCATAAAGTATGTCTGTTAAATATACTCTTTTTTCTGCTTTTTCATTATTACATTTGCTATATCATTTACTTTACTTTCAATCTTTGAATTACTTTGTGTATTTCTTTAGAACAGAGTGAAGAGTTTTGCATTTTAACCAATCTTAACATTCTTTGACTTATTGTGTGATAATTCATTTAATTTACACTTATAGTGAAAGTCATGCTAGATTTTATTCCTTTTCATTATTTATTACACATTTTCATATTTTCTCAATGTGTCTTGTTTTGACTTGTCTTTTATTTAATTTCTCCCATTAATTTAAAATTCTAATGTACTTTTCTATTATACTAATGACTGCTGTCCATTTTTGTCTCTTGGGAAGATGTACACAATAAATCTACTTGAAATCTATACTAATTAATTCCTCCAAACACAGTCAACACTCTCTTCAACAATATATGCTATTTTTCTTTAATCTTAACTGAAATGATACCTTTAGAATATTTTAATCTGTGTATGTTCTTTCTTACTACTCCCATTAGATATTTGGAATAGTTTTATTTCTCTTATCTTCATATTTTTCCATTATAATTTTT